AAACATCTCAATGCCACCTGTTGATATAACCAGACATCTCAATGCCAATGTGAATGCCACCTGTTTATGTAACCAGACATCTCAATGCCACATGTTGATGTAACCAGACACCCCAACGCCACCTGTTTATGTAACCAGACACATGAATGCCACCTGTTGATGTAACAAGCCACCTCAATGCCACCTATTAATGTAACCAGACAGGTGAATGCCACCTGTTTATGTAACCAGACATCTCAATGCCACCTGTTGATGTAACCAGACATCTCAATGCCACCTGTTTATGTAACCAGACACCCCAATGCCACCTGTTGATGTAACCAGACATCTCAATGCCACCTGTTTATGTAACCAGACATCTCAATGCCACCTGTTGATGTAACCAGACATCTCAATGCCACCTGTTGATGTAACAAGACACCCTAATGCCACCTATTGATGTAACCAGACAGGTGAATGCCACCTGTTTATGTAACCAGACATCTCAATGCCACCTGTTGATATAACCAGACATCTCAATGCCACCTGTTGATGTAACCAGACATCTCAATGCCACCTGTTGATGTAACCAGACATTTCAATGCCAATGTGACTGCCACCTGTTGATGTAACCAGACATCTCAATGCCACCTGTTTATGTAACCAGACATCTCAATGCCACCTGTTATTGAACTTACCTCACTCATGATAATGGTTCCTTCAATTGCTAATTTCAGATCTGACAGAGTCTGCCGAACAAGTGAAATTACACGCTGCATCCGATCAAGCTCCTGGCGGAGAAAAATATTCATTGAACTCAGGGCTCCCATCTTTTGCAAACGGCCTTTTACCTAAATACAATTAAAAAGTTAAAATCAGTGTTGGAAAGTCATTTGACAGTCATTTATGAGATCAACACATCATTTGATGATGATAGTGTATTACTTGAAAAACCTGCAAAGTATGTCACTTTGTTTTGAATGTGCCAATTCGGACCATATTTTTTTTATATTGGCTTCAAATCATAATTATTTAAGAGGGTCAAATTAAAAAGGTTATGTAATACAGAAACCACAACACCAAGAAGTTTCTTACATAGACTTACCAGGATCCATAGATCCTCAGCGACTTTAAAGCCTGAAACTTAAGTTAAACCACACACACACGCATACTAAATAATGGGCTATGCATTTGATATTTAGCACATCTAATTTAGTGTGACATAACAAGTGTAGTTAAATACAGAAGCAATGCTGCTATATATATTTTGCTCAATGTAATTGTCCCAAACTAAACAAGATATCATGTAAACATACCTCATGGGGCAGATAATCTGGTGGTAGTTTAGCCAACATATCATCTGCTTGTCTGTATACAATAGTTTCCCTAGTTTCACCCCCTCCACCACCACTTTCCTTGGGTTGAATATTGACAATAGTATCCATAATCTCTTTTGCTGTATTACTTTGATAACTGTGAAGGAATTAGTAACATTAATCAAATAAAAGAGGATATGGCTTGGCATAGAAGCTGGTGGTATCATTCATATCTACAATTATATCTATCCGATACTCATTGAAGAACACACAACAGTAAGATGAATTATTATTAAGGTTTCTCGACCAGAAGTGATTTACTTTGTACATTAACGGCTGACAGAATTGACATTACCTTTGTGAAAAATCAGAATGCAAGTACCCAATGCTTGCCTATTATTGAGTAAAAAGTTATGCCTGAATGTGACTCAAGTGAGTCCAAAAGATCTACTTTGGGCCACTAGAATGAGCATAATTACAACTGAGATAAACTTATCATATCTTATGTCAGACACACAGACATGGCTCAAAATACCACAGATAGAGATGAAGATAAAGGATGAACACTTTAATTGAAGATACTTACGTAATATCAGCATTAGTGTGAAGTCCAAATACTTCAGGCGTATCAACCAAAGGCAGACATGCAATAAATTCCATATACTCCCCGACTGTTTTACACTGTGGTATTTTATAACCAGTATAGAAACAGAAACTGTCATGGAACATGTGATCACAAAACCAAACCTTTAATAGAAGAAAATACAACAATATTCAATCACATTTCGCTAAGTTATTTGACTATTTTACTATATTTTACAATATTGTAATATTGTAACATTAGAATCACATAGCTGAGTATAATCAAGCTGCAGTATCACTGGAACCATGTATATCTGTAGTGTATGTGAATTAAGTTATCACATTTAAATTTTACTGAGTTTATGACATCAAATAGAAGAGGAAATTAAAAAAAAAAACTTGTATAGACAAACCTTAGCAAAGGTATTGAGTAATCTTTTGTCATAATCATCAGTAACTCTTCCACCATATTGTACTTCACCTAGCATATAACGTACGGTATTCCAGGATACACCCTTCAAAGTTTGTGTGAAAAGATACAATATGTGACATATGAAGTACAGCTTCCAGCACTAGTCTATCTTGGTGAGATTATACAAATTGTGAAAATATGTGAAAAGAATATATCACACAAGAAAACTCCCTTTATTAAGGTAGAAGCTTACGGATAGTCATAATTTTTGACAAAATTAGTCATGAATCGCATGACAATGTTCATTAGTTTATTATGTACAATCATGAAGCTAATGTACCATGGTACAATTAAATAACATTATTTTGTGTGTTACAGTTAAGCTTTTTGAGAAATATGTCCTAATATTTCTTGAAAATTGCTGTTTTAGAACATTTCCATAGAACACGATGTTAAAAGACAAAAAGTACTCCATCATTAACAATATATGATTTTTTTCAGCCTATGTCACCATGCTAGATTTTGAGATATTGAGATAATGCATATCTCTTCCATAGGAACCTGTGGTAAAAGTGTTATAAGTGTCAAAGTGGTGACTTTCCACTAAAATACAATCATCATTTTCTCGAGGAAAAAAAAAGGCTGGTGACCCCCAACTTTTTTTAGGTCAATATCTCTGTATTGCTTTGGAGTACAGTTTATTGCAAAATGAATAAATTCTGGG